GGAAGAGTTTTGTTTTGACACATAACAGTAGATGGTGGAAGCTGAGAGTTTTTAGCAGCTATAGCACCATAGAAAGAGCAGCTGAGAGGCAGGTGAAGTTCTGCACACCCTTCAAACTCAGTGATTAGCTTCCTTTTGGTAGCAATGCAGCCTTCTCTTTGATAGAAACACAAGTCAAAAGGTCAAACCCTTATTGCCTGTTGGTGCCACAGAAAGGGGCAGAGTGACCTCTGCTGGTTGAGCTTCCACATAGCAAGAAGGCCTATAAATATGTTAGGAAACTAAAATATGAATGAAATAATAGAAACTTAAATAGGCTAACTGCGATCCTAAGCTACATATAACATTAGTTCACTTGTCTTAATCTGAAGTTACAGGTCACCAATGGCCTTACAAATGTTTATTCTCCCTAACAGTTATTATTTTATTAGTTATGTTTTTATTTCAGTTAACTAAAGTGTTTTTTGCACACCCAGTGCTACTTTAGTTTTACTAAAAACGTACTAATTACATGGTACTTGGGCTACTTTTATTTTGAAGGTTCTACCGGTTACTTTCGCTTCCAAAAAAAGAATAGACCACGTGACTTCCATTTTTGGTTTATAACGAAAAACGAATTGATTGAAGTTCACAGACTCTCTTCATTCTTTGTTAGAAATGGAATTACGATAAAATGAATTGCCAAAAACGAAAAACTTTGAATTGGTTTTTCGTTTTTTGATTCTGACACCAAAACAGTTTATTTGGTTTTTCGTTTTATATTACAAACAAATTACGGATTATCCAGAGATACCCAGACCTTAATGATAACAAAAAACTAAACTTTTCTTCTAACTTAAAACACCAAAATGTTAGCTGAAAAGCCTTTTTAAGCAAATACCTACTTTACCATAAATAAATGATCAAATTGTGGCTTCATTAGATGTCTTCCTCTATAGCTTGCTTGATTAGAGTGCTGGTTTCCACACCCCTTCATCTTCCACACCTCTTTTCATTCAGACCCAGGTTCGAATCCCACCTGCGGCAGCATTGATAAATGCTTTCAACTTCAAACACCTGTGTGCAGACTGTCTTGCAATGGTCTGTTTTAAATGTGTATGTTGTTAGTCTTTCTAAATGCAGTAATTATATATGTGGAATAAGTTTTTCATAAGATTGGTCGCTTTCTGTGTCTTTATGTTATTTTGCAACACTGGACTATATGTCACAGAAAATATAAGCACAAGCAAAACAGTGCTCTGCCACGCATTTGTGGTCATTGATTGCCCTCTATTGGTGCTTTGAAGCATAACATGCATTCAGTTCCCACTGACTTGCTGTGGTGTTTTTAAATTTGTGTCATAGTGTTTCTAAATTCAATCAGTGTTAACCTGGATATCAGTGTTTCCTTAAAATAGTTGATAGCTCTATATTTTATTTGACAACAGTGGACTGGACCTCACATAAATCAGCGCTGGACGGGCCCTCGCACGTGAAGAGTGACAGGTAGTGTTGCTCTGAAGTGTCACGTTCTTGACACTGGTGTGCCAGGAATGTTTGGTCATTGAGTGCCCTGTGTTGGTGCTTCAGAGGCATTTCATGTCCTTGAAAACCAGAGCAAATTGAGAAAGTTGAAATCAGCATTGAAACAGTGTGTTTCAGTAGTGCAGTGATTAAGTCCTTCTCCTGCCAACCCCAAAATTGGTGGTTTGAGTCCAAGGAATGGCATGTTAACCTCAATCCTGAGCTGAGCAAATGGTTCTACAAATGTCATTATTTTCTCAGTTCTTGCAAGGGTACAAAATTTTGAACACACGCCAGGAGGGTCAAAAACAAACAAGAAGTCGATCATTTTGGATTAAATTGTCATATTTGGCTTATCTTAAAGAGCTCATAGTACCTTACTACCCCACCAGAGCACTGCGCTCCCAGAATGCAGGATTACTTGTGGTTCCTAGAGTCTCCAAAAGTAGACTAGGAGCCAGAGCGTTCAGCTATCAAGCTCCTCTCCTGTGGAACCAGGTTCCAGTTTGGGTTCAGGAGGCAGACACCATCTCCACATTTAAGAGTAGGCTTAAGACTTTCCTCTTTGATAGAGCTTATAGTTAGGGCTGGCTCAAACCCTACAGCTGAGACCCCAAATTCTTTTCTCTCCCTGAGAGAAAGAGGAGGGGGGGTTGAGATATCAACCCTCAAAAGACAGCTAAGTAACCCCAAAGGAGGGGGTGAAAGGTTTGCTTTCCCTATTTATACATATTAAAAGTTAAAAGACAGTCTCTCAGGAAACCGGAAACAAGGCCTTAGGAGAACAAAGCCAAGCCCCCTGGGGACACGCCCCAAGGGGACAGACAAACTAAACAGCGGAGCTCTTTGTTGCTCGCTCTCTTCTCGCTCTTCCCTTGTACTTCGACTCTCCAGCAGCTCTCGGCACGCGCTCAGCACCTAACTACCTAACCAGTCTGGCCCTTGGCTTTGAGTTGAGGTCCAATAGTCTGTTAGCTTTAATCCTTAATCAATTCCAGCCTAAAACTCCTAGACAAATTTAACCGAGTTAGCATCATATAACCTGCGTTTATTAGTTCTCTTTCTCCCTATGAATCAAATTCTCCCCACAATAGAACAACTCAATTTACCTTGAACTCATTACACTCATTGTTTGCCTCATCTTTGTTTAGCTATTGTTTATTTCTTTGACGTATATTTAACCGCATTTATATCCACCGTAATCACAGGAACTGTGTGTGTGTTTTTAACTCCAGGTCACTCTCACGGAGGATTTACGCCCTTCGACATCAGACTGACTGATTGATTTAAGATAACTGAGCGATTATTAACTAACCGATCACTAGTGAATAATTGTGTAATTATTAAACTATAAGGTTACCCAGGGGTCCGGAGACCCTGGGCGAACTGAATTTCCGGTGGTGCCCTTTTCGAGGTTTAGGAATTAATATTCTCTGAATATTAATAGTCATAATTTGTATTCCAAAAGTAGGTATGCTACAATGGCCTGACCGTGGGACACCGCTATAAAACAAATAGTTACCAATGTAAAAGAAACAGGTTAATGTCCATCAAAAGAAAGCGATGCTCTTTTCAACAACAGAATACTGGTAATATATCAGAACCAACCCAGCGATCATCTGACTTAGATGTTCCAGTAGTAGCTTTTCAGAGACTAAATACGCTTTTCTACGCCGTTAATGGAAAGTGAAAGTATTTCACTTGCCGGCTTGTGAAAGTGCCATGGTGCGCCCTCACTGGATTTCAGTTGTATTAGTAGAACAATAAAGCCTTACACTGAAAAGGGATTTGCGTGATTTTCTTGTCACGATCGTGGTGTGGAGGCAGGTTGGAGAACCCAAACGCAGGACACAGAGCGGGGCAGGTATGGTACAACGAAGGGTTGTTTTTCCTGGGAAAAAAAATTCTATGCACCCTAAGGATTTAGCTACCGTCCAGGCACTCAAGGAGAGGAGACCAGGACAGCAGAGACAGATCCTGGGTTTTGTCTCATATTACAGATCATACATTAAGCACTTCTCAAAGGTCGCAAAGCCCCTGTAAGCCCTCCTCTCCTCAGACACATCAGGTTCAGACACACCCAACCCACCACCAGCCACAGTAGTCAAGGGAAGGAGAAAGATACCAGAAGAATTCCGCCACTGTGGGGAACTTGGAGAGTGAATGTGTCCTATTAAGCAGTGGCCGAAGCTTGTCCTGCCACGAGTTTTCCATTCCCTTTGTCTTCTATGAGCTGCATCAGAAGATGGGACATTTCTGAGTGGAGAGAACACTGAGCCTAATCAGAGAATGATATCGATGTTGAACATTTCGTCACCAAGAAATGTGACAAAATGGCAAAGAAGGATGAAAGAGGCCTATTCCATCGACAAACTTGTCTGAGCGCAGAGGACCTGGAAAACTAAGAGTGGACAAACACACAGCAGAAAGAAACCTCTTTCTAATCTTTCTCTAACTGTAACCATATACTTTTTAGACCTAAACCTAACCAAACCTTGATCCAAGGAGAAAAATATCATTTAATTCCTAACTCATGGACTCAGGAGACTGGTAAAGTGGATAAAGGTGCACCAAAACATGGAAATAAAATCGTGACAATAAGCTAGGAATCCAGTTTTGCTCTTTCCCACAGCAGGAACAGCAACTTTCCCAGCAGCCAGACGTCAGTGTAGATGGATCTACTTTATTCATACAAATCAATTCTTACACAACAGTCAATGTACTCATAATTGGCTGTGAAGTCTTGAGACACAGACAATAAAATGTTCTGTTATTTCCTTATGATTGTATTATACAGGCATCTTGCTTCCTTGATTAAGGCAGTGATGTCTCTTACATAATCCACTAGAGATTTACAAGAACAATAAATAGACTTTAGACGTTGTTTATTCCTCTATCAGCCTTCAGATGTGGACACAGTTTCTCATGTAACTATTGATGGGAAAAACAAGTGAAACAAGTGAAAGAATCCTCAGCACATGTACATTCAGTCAATAAAAGCCAATAAAGCCAAACAAGAACACAGTTTCATTAGCAGAAAGTATATTTGCTCAAGTACTGAGTGCCTGTTCCTGTGCCTCTATGATTAGTGCTTCTGTGCTGTCCTTTAGTCCAGCCATTTTTAGCCTAGGATCTTTCTTTTCTTGATATCTGTGGCCTCTTTCTCCTCCTTTGGCCATTTTATTATACTAGTGGAGTATATGTGTATATATAGTTACCACTTTTTCCCTAACTTTTATTGATTGTGAATGTAGGACTTTTAAATTCATGCAATAAAGTCTGTATCATTGCTGATACGTGCAGAACACACAACTGACTCACACACACATTCTAACTGCATAATCAGCCCATTATCAGTTCTTCTAAACCATTAACCTGATCTGAAATCACAACTACAAGGGAGTGGTTTGTGTCAGGAAACAGAGTGCAGCGTCATATCTTTATGGCAATCATTTTCCCGCACACAGGGTTGACTCATAGACAGCGTTCTGCATCCACACAGCCTCATGAACGTGACTCTGTGGGTTCAGGTGTGTATATAAAGAGCAGGGTGGCCTCTTGTCATCACTGCATCACTCAGGTAATACTCGAACAACATCAACTCACATTTACCCGACAGAGCTTATGGTTCTGCTCTCTCTCTGTTTATTTATTGGCAGTTTTTTCTCCTCACAGAACAATCAGTGGATCCTCACCATGAAGACTGTCCTGGTCGGTTGCATTTTCCTCTGTGCTGCATTTGCAGGTCAGATTCAACATAAGTTACCCCACATACAGAACTCTCATCCATGTGCTCATGAGTCAGTCAGCATGCCTCTAACATAGAGTGGGACCTGTGCACACTGTCGTAAAGCTGTGCATAGCAGTTCATTTGATGCGTTCATACACACACACACACACACACACACACAGGGTAAACAGAAAGGGAAAGAAGAGTTACTTGTGAACTCCTGTTACTGACCGTGTTGTGTTTCTCTCTGCAGCTCCCGCTGAAGACAAAGAAAAAAATCCAGGTCAGTTTGAAGGTCAACCTAAGCAATGCTTTGTGCTAGAGTTAATTAGTAAATGTTAGAATAATACTGTAACGCGCTTATAAAATGATAACCATTGTCAGTAACCTGCTAAACTATGCATGTTAGTATTATAAATATAATAAGTACAGCCTCACAGGGCAGATAGCATGGCAGAATACTACTTATCTAGTTTTAACTTATTTGGAGAGTTTGCCATTAATATGTCATTGTTGACTTTTTTGTAGTTGTGACAGAAGTGTAATGTCAAGTACTCTTAACTAAAAAAGCAAAGGTCTGATGAAGCGTTGATGTTTCAGAGATGGTCGAGAAGATGCCAAAAGAAGAGGAAGCATTTGTGCCTGTTTCCAGAACTGGTAATCAGAAAGGACCCACATCACTCTTAGCAATATATTCAACTAAACGAAGAAGTTCAAGTAAAGAGATTTTTCAACAAACTTCTCACAATGAGGAGGCTTACGTAACCAACACATAGTCTCCACGTGTACAGTATTCTAACATATATGTAAATATATATACTTTTTGTTTGCCAAACTTGTGGTGGTCCATTAACGTAATCATTTATGTCCCGCTGGCTGCAAACAGGTTACAGGTTTATTGTTATTGTTATTATTACAGTTTTATTTAGTTAAGGTTTGAGAGTCTGCAGGTGTGTTAACTTACGGTAGTTAATAAGCTGTCATGCAATTGCATTGCACATGGTTGTGCTCTGTAAGTGAAAATCAGGTTACAGTTAGAGAATTCCTTATTGCTACGCAGTGTTATAAGCAGCCTGGATTGAACACAGCAGGTGATACAACACGCATTATAATCACGAGTGACTTGAGACTTGACTTGGACTCTAGCTCAAAGACGTGAGCATCTCTGATATATACAATACTAACTGCTGACTGTGTTTGTCTGTTTGTGCAGCACATACATTTGATGAGGGAGCAGCACCTGAGTGTAAGCGCCACAATACTGTTTTGATCTTTGTATTGAGTAATGTCATCATGGCAACAACAATAATACAGCTCTTTTCAAATATCACAAATGTCTAAGTAATAGCATGACATGTTTAAAGGACCATAGCAGTATCTTTGCATGTGTTATTAAATACAACCTCAACGTTGTCCCTCTTTTGTCTCTCTGTAGCTCGTTTTAACTTCTGTCCAGACGGCTGGTTCAGCCATGGCTCTCGGTGCTTCATGTTCATCAATACACCCATGTCCTGGTACAGTGCTGAGGTACTGACTTCTATATTATCATTGTGAGCAGTCGGCCCCATTAAACTCGTACACACTGTGAACAACTTCAATAAAAAAATATTTCAATTCAGTTTTATTTATATAGCGCCAAATCACAACAACAGTTATCTCACAGCGCTTTTCATAAAAGAGCAGGTCTAGACCGTACTCTGTGATGTTATTTACAGAAGCCCAACAATTCCCACCAAGAGCAAGCACTAGGCAACAGAGGCAAGGAAAAACTTCCTTTTAAGAGGCAGAAACCTCGAGCAGAACCATGGCTCAGGGTGGGCGGCCATCTGCCTCGACCGGTTGGGAGGGGGGGAGAGAGAGGAACAGAGAGAGAGGGAGGGAGGCAGCCTACACAATATCCACACAGAGGTACAGACAGTAAAGGTGATGTTGCTATTGTAGCAGACCTAAAAATTTAGTTATGCATTTTAATAAATTTATGAGAATTGATACCCAATTATGAATTAATATTCTTAAAATCAAAATTTCCTCGTTTCAGGGCACCACCGGAGTTGTTATAATCCTAGAGTCTCCGAGTTTTGAATAATCATACAATTATTACAAGTGATCAGTTAGTTAATAATCGCTCAATTATCTTAAATCAGTCAGTCAGTCTCATATCTAAAGGGTCAATTCTCTTGGCAGGAACTAGAAATAGGCAACACACACAGCTCTTGATTATGTTACAGTGAATTTATTCTCTAACTAAGGTGAAAAAAGATTGTTGGATACAGGGAACATAAACATTTGCTGAACAATGAGCCTGGAGGTTCGGTTGGGGAAGCATTTGACTCATACGGCATAGAAGAGCTAATTAAAGTAAACTAATGCTATGTTTTTTGGAGTTAAAATGGACATCTGATCACAGAACGTGTGTTAAGTCTTACTGCTTGTCGAGAGCCTGCTTTTGGCCTGTTGCACGGGTCCCACGCTAGCTGCCCGATCCTGGCTTTTTGCTAGGGATTCTCCGGGGTTCTCCGTGTCTGATTGAAAATGCCTCCTCCGTCTGGCAATTCGGCTGTTTCAGGTTTCCTTCGTTGTAGCTGGCGAGACCACATGGCTTGGTCTGACCTCGGTGAAGTTGGCTTGACGAAAAAGGCTTAGAATGGAACTTGGTCGTTCCTGAATTAGTCCAGTGTAACTTAACAAACTGATAACTTTAACAAATAAAAGAAATAAAGAAAATAAAACAAACAAAGATCGATGTCTCGGCACTTCACGTGTGTAGCTTCAAGCGAAACAAAAGGCTGGTTGTTTCGCTGGTCGACTGAGGGCGTTGCCTGGCGCGGCATGAAGAAGAAGAAGAGAAAGAGAGCGAAGCGAGGTCGCGTGTTGCTCTTTTGTTACCTGGGGCGTGGTTCCCCAGGGGGCGTCTCAGGTTTCCCATGGGACTGCCTTTCTAAACTTAATGTCTAAAGAAAAGAAATCTATTTGCACGTATTATAATCAAATATTTCAATTCAATGGTTGAACGGTTGTACTGTTCTAAGTTAAGCATTTGGTAACAGGAAACAATTGTCACATAATTGGTCAGGATATTTTTACATTTAAAGGCATTTCCGACGAGGGCATGTAATACTTATTTCGTCCACTTGGGGGAGCTCAGGTTACATGAGGAAAGCTTGGATTAAATCAAAGATCGTCTCTACTTAGGAACTGGGTATATTGTTGATTCATCCTTAAATTCAAGCTGGCGATTAAGAGTATAGTAAAACATTTCTTTGTCATCATTTCTAAAGGAATTTTGTGGGAAAGTATTATGTAGTAGTATGATTACATCAGATGAAGGAGTGTCTTGCTGAAAATAAAAACACTGCACAAGTAACTTCTTTTCAGCACTAATATCAACAACAGATAGCAACAACAGTTAACATAACTACTCAAATAGAGGCAAACGTAATCAGGTAACTAAAGATTTAATTAAATGCTTTGAGTCTTTGGAGACTGCAGTCCTTTTACATTAAAGTTCAGTGTCTGGACCATGTCACACTTGGGTGACAAGGGGGTTTTCCTTTTTGATGTGGTAATAAAACAAAGAATAAGGTCAGTTGCCACGGAAACATGTGTGGGGGCCAGTTTTGATAGGCTGTTTAGGGAAATGCCAATGGCTGGTTCGTGTCCCTTTGTCAGTTTAACAGTCAGGCCCGCGTTATCAGCTTCGGAATCAAAAAGGTGCCAGTTTTATGGTCGGGATAGCACTTAGAGAAAGCAACTTTGACCCCTCCCCATCTTCTCTGGGGAGGAGAAAGGAATTTAGGGTAGCTCCAAATTTATTCAATGTAAAATGCACAAATCCACACCGTTGTTCACTACACTATAGACTAAATGAAAAATGGTACAGATATTTACAGTAGTGTTAATGATAATATTCGTAATGATTATAATTACAATAATATATATATATAATATACAATAGTAACAATAGTAGTGTTGTAGCAGAGGGTGTTGAGCAGGAACACGGGGGCAGCAGGTGACCCGCAACCACAGATCCAGACTCCACAGCTCCAGAGCCAGAAACACCTGCAGGAAGTGATAGGAGGAGAGAGGAGAGGGACGAGAAAGCACAAGACTACCGGAAAGGGGAGAAACAACGCGGTTGAAGCTGTGCTTTTCTCATTTGATAGACTTTGTTATTCATTCAGTTAGGCTACCATCGACCCACATGAGGACTGCAACATGTTGTACAACATAGAGGTCTAAAGCCTCTTCATTTTATGTCCACCAAAAGATGAGCTTTCGTTTAAATCAAAACTAAAGACAATTCTATTTGGAGGAAGAAAATGAAATGACTATTTAGTATTTACAATTTAGCTGTATAGCCCCAAAGATCTCTCTGTGCTTCTTCTGTCCAACAGGAGCACTGCAACAGCCTGGGTGCCCACCTGGCCTCGGTCACCAACCCCAGAGAGCATAGCTTCCTTCAGCAAATCACACAGACAGCCGGTCAGAGCATCGCATGGCTGGGAGGCTTCAACCTACAGGTCTGGATTTTTGAAATACTGAGTCAGTCCAGATCAAGCCCAGGACATCTAGACTCTAGACAAGATGGATTTGAGAGCAAATGAATAGACAACAATTCCTTACACTCATGCTCTTTGTCTCTCAGGGACGGTGGATGTGGATTGACCGTGAGGGTTTCTATTACACCAACTGGTACTCCCCCTCCTCCTCCAGCAGCTACCCCTGCATCTACTTACGCACCACCAGTGAGTCCACCTGTTTGCTTTGGCTGGCTAGCTGCATCAGCTAAACTTTTCTATTTTCTCATAGGGAGTATAACGTGATGAAAACACTGCTATAACCTTAGTTAATGTGTTAGTTTAGAGAAAACCTACTATGTGGCTATCTGTGAAGGTGCCGCCTGGCTGTTTTGCTGAAAAGGCCACATTAGACATATTTAGAATTGTCAAATTTGACGTGATATTTGCTGAACTCTTACATCCCAGGTTATAACCTCTATCTCACAGAGCTGTTACAGTGATGGTTGCATGCACTTCCATCTATTTACTCTTACAGTTGTATGTGTGAATGTTATCTGGATTTCTATCTGTCTCAGAGTGTGGATATCTGTTTTTAGCCTTATGGGAGACAATGCCCCCATCAGACTAAACGTGACACTGACTTGTATGTCAGGGGTAGTTCTGATTTACCATATTTTGTGAAATATGGAAAAATCTTTTGTTAACCCCCCCAAAAAAGAATTCAATGTTAATGTTGTTTTTTTTTCTTTTCAGATGGTTGGGGTAACACCCAGTGTGGCTCAGCTTATCGCTTCATCTGTTCCAAGAACCCGTTCAGCTGTTAAAATACATACTGAACATCTGGAACCTTGGGATGTATCAGCTGGGATACTGTTTCTTTTTAAAGCCAATTCATGAATAGTTGTGTGTCTTACAATTTCCTCTTGTGTATTCTTGAAAGAGTTACATGTGTTAAGTAACTTTTATGTAAAAGCATTTCTGTTGAGAAAGGTTCTTTTTAATAATAAAGACTTGGATACAAAGAAGACTGGAAGACTTGGATAAGAATTGGATATGTGTGATATTCCTTTAAGAGTTTGGTTGAAAAGTGGTTGTTTAAGTTCAGTGCTATTACTATAGTAACGTATTTGTTTTAATTTTTTAGTGTACACTTTGAGTTAAATATTATTATAAACTGAATAGATTCTTGATGATGACGATGATCATCTTGATAATCTGACAGATTTATGTACTATAATAACAAGAAATCAAAGTCTATAAAAGCAGACACTGAATATTGTCCACTCCCACCCCCCTGAACTCAACTGAACTTCTCACGTTTTATTGCTCATGACATACACTCACTCCAAATCACCTTATAGCTATTCTTACATCCTTGCACTTGATGAGCCAAAAATGACATGTATGGCCAGATGCTGGTGCCGAAAGGTTATATTGCTACCTGAATATGAAGGTTTGCATTCTGGTATAACTCAGATAAAATGTATAGTGTTTACATTCTCTCTCTTACTGTGTGTGTGTGTGTGTGTGTGTGTTTGGGTGTGTGCACAAGCAGACTGTGTTGTGTGTTAGCTACAAGAGATGAGGCAAATAAAGAATCAGATTATGCTGAAGAACAAGACACCTGCCCCCTCAGTTGTTATCTGCAACTGCACTGAACAAAAGACCAAGCCTGGAAAGCCTAAGCTGGAACTCACAGTATAGTGCTACTACCAACATGGCATGTGTACAGACAGTGAAAGTGCTACACACTGAGCTACTCAATGTTTTTAAAAATATAATAAAAAATTACAATGGTGTCCCATAAAATAGATATGTTACAGTGTGTGTGTGTGTGTGCATAAAAATCAAAGCCCTCACCTTACACTCTCCCTGGTTCAGCTTCCCCTGTGCTGGACTCCAGCAGCCATTGCTTGTACTGATTGTACATATTTGCTACATATGCATGACAACATCAGTAATAAATATGGCTAACAATAATCCATTTTCTAATTCTATCTATGCATGATATGATTGCCAACCCGGTCTTGCACACTGCCCCTGTACCTGTCATGCTTGATCAGCGTTTTTTAATGCGCATTTAGAAGTATTGCGTTCGAAAAGGTTGATGGAGACGCTAAAATTAAAACAAACTTTGTCTATTTCGCTTGAGGTGGTTTTTGTCTTTTTGAAAAAGAGTAATTGCGCTAAATGGGAGATGGGAACACCTTTGTTCTGATGTAGCGAACAATTACCTCACATGATTGATCATTTGTTTTTGCTGTCGACGTCCTCTTGGATATTCCCATAACGCACAGAAGCACGGCTGGTAGCATTTGGCCCTCTTGAAGCATATTTCTGAAGACCTATCTCCTTTTTCTCAAATCAGTGGTCCTCAGGTCCATGCTACTGGTTTTGTTTCTGATTTATGTAATGTCAACTACGGTTGATGGAAACGTGCCTAACTCTTTTTTTTTCAGATTGATGCAAATAGACCCATTCTTTTAAAAGAACAGAGATCTGAGTTGAGATGCCGCCATGTAACAACTGATTTTCAACTTCTTTTGCACCTCCTTGGCTCTTGGCTGACATTTCAACCATAAATTTGTGCAGAAAATGTCTCTTTAGAGTGCAGGAAATTAAGTGTGCTCAAAATCTTCTGGGGGAGAAACCCCCAGGCCCCCAATCCTAAATTCATGACTAAATATTTTGTTTCTAAATAGTATTAAAATTTATTCTTGTCTTGTTATAATGACCCCAAACTTGTGCAATGTCACGTCTCATGGGCTAAGTGTTTCTACATGCCCCTAATCTGAGCCCTTAAATGTCCCCACAACTTTTCAACACAAAGCACACAAACCTTAGGGTGTGTGCCATGCTGTATAGACAATGATGATAATTACAACATAACATAATAATTATGATTATAACACACTCACACTAACATCATAACACACACAAAGTGAGACTACCTGCTGTCACCTACTGCTGGTGATCACCCACTGACATCAGTGTTGCATTTATCATTATTTTTGTAGCTAGCATAATTTCCTAATGGATTCCATTGTTGATACCTCGTTGGTCACGCTGTATTTCAATGCCTGTAGTGTAGTGTTTGGCTGCCTGCTTCTTTCTTCTTGTACGCAGTGGGAGGGACAGATGTACTCTCACCGTGATCACGTCCCAGGTTTATCCTGTCTGTTCCAATTGCAACTGAGACAGACCAGCCTTTGTTTGTGGCCATTGTGAGCTAACAGCTTTAGGAAACAATGGTCATCTCAGCATGCTTCACTGCATTAAAAGTGGGATTTTTGTCCCTGGAAACTGCCTTGAATCCCCAGCAGTTATTGGTCGTTTTCGGCGCTGTGCCGAAAATCATATCCCCCCCCTTCCCTGGAGGATCTGATTGGTTGGTAGATCTGTCTTTATTGGTCACCTTGGGCCTTTAGAAACACAGACTTGGGTAAACCCCTCAACGCTAATAATAATGTAGAATTAAGAACTCTGTATTAAATAAATACTGTGCTTACTGAAGACTACATTCATGTTACATGTAGTATTCATGCTCATGAATTTACGAGACACATCTTGATTACAATTAAATTTATTTGTTAAAAAGGCAAATGTGAAAAAACATTTACAAATCATATCAAATGCTGCGGTGTAGCTATCCACCTCTGAGTCACATGGTGGTGGCTGTCAGAACAGCATCCATTGTACAGACACCTGTGATGCAGTGCTTTATAATTTGGATTGGCCTTCCAGCCTTGTCTGCAGCGTGCAAAAGAGGTCGCGGTTTCCTGGCCGCAAGACTCACTCAAAACTGCAATCTTCCTCATTTGACATCAGAGCTATAGTGACGTAACTTGATCTGCTGCCAATACGCCTCACTTCCAGCAGCGGTAAACACAAACAGAACAGACAAGGTACATTTGTAACTCACTTCTGCTACAAAGCAGAAAACATACAGCTTACAAAAATAATCACAGAAAAAACAGTAATAAACTATAAACTATGTTTATATATAACAAGAGTCATCAACTTACTTTCATGTCAGTGCACAGCCTGCTCTCCAACACACACACACACACACACACACACACACACCGGGAACTCAGCATGTATATCTCACCTCTAAATTAAACAGAAAATTAACTAAATTGTTCTTTAAATGGGCCAGTTCAAACCTTTAAAAGGTAACATGAAAAACAAACAAACAAAAGAATCAGCAGAAATACAACTTAGAAAGCTATTAGAAAAGTAAATCTACTAAATTAAACATTGACTTAAACAAGCAAATAAATTAAAATTCACATACAAGGCTCCATATTTCATTACTTTGTTATAAAAAAAAATTATTCACAGTTCAGGTCTTATAGATGCACTAAAATCATATTAGAAAGCATCTGTAATTCCATCTAGCAACCACAGCTAAATATAGCATATGTGCGAGAAAACAGCTCTACATTGGTAGTATTAACATGTCAATAATCATATTATCATTTTTATCATATATAGTGTTCAACATTTCAATAACAACATGTTGTGTTCAACATGTTGAATAACAAAATGCACCGATACAGCTAACGTATAATAGCCAGTGAGACAAACCCAAACCTTCCTTATCTTCTCCCTGTTTTTTTCTGTCTTACCGCTTCAGCTGCTGATGACGTCTCTCTGACGTCTCATTTCTCTTGGTACTTTGGTAGTGAGTCCAACTATCTTTTGACCATTAGCAGCGGGGCAGGGAGGGGGTTCCGGTCGGTTGTCGTCTTAAACATTACTTGTATACTGCTCATGAATCACTGTTCTCATTGAAAGTGAAGTTATTTGTTTTAGGAGCACATGTGAGAGCGTGTGGGCAGGGATAATGACAGCTGTGCACAGAGAAGAGTGTCACACGCACCTTTTCTGTTTCTTAAATTGCACACTTTTTGCGGTTATGTAATAGCACATGACGACATTAGATAGATAGACATAGATAGATAGATACTTTATTTATCCCGAGGGAAATTCAAGTATCCTGTAGCATACATTAAAACCATATTAAAATAAAATTAAAATAATTTATAACACAGTAGCCACAGTAAACAGTGAAAATGGAGTGCAGATGGAAGTAAAGAGAACAGATTTTGTCATTTGTCCTCCCTGCCATGAATAGGAGCTGTTGGACAGTCTGATGGCCAGGGGGACGAAAGAGGGTTTTTTGTCTGTTGGTGGAGCTGGGCTGGGACAGCAGTCTGCCACTGAACACATTCCTCTGCCCGATGAAGGTGTTGTGCAGAGGGTTGTGGGCGTGGTCCAGTATGGACAGCAGTTTGTCCAATTTGCAATTGCGATTTCATTAATTGTGCAGCCTTATATAAGAGCAGAGTAACATGCTGAAACAGCTTTTCTAACACTGTTTTCCAGCAAAACTCATTAAAAACTGCAGTTAGTGAACTCAAATCACACCAGGACTCACACAGGACAGGTCTGATAATACATACAACAGAATACAGCGGTTTCCTTTTTAGTTACACTTGATAACTTTTATTGACTGAGCTGCAACTTACCTTGTGCCCACAGCTCGTGCCATTGTAAACGACTGGACGTTGTAAGGGACCTACATCATCACGCTGACCACGTCCATCCCAGACAAATTAAGCAAAAAGAGTATTTATACATTCAAAAGCTTGCTGGACTGAGAAAGGGTAAAATAAATTCTTACTTTTTTAGTCTGGAGGTCTCCTTCTTCTTCTTGACCATTATTAGTGATTGGCAAATAATGAATTGGCGCACTAGCGCCACCAACTGGTAAGAAGCGTGGATCCAAGGATTAGTCCTTATTTTATTAACAATTGTTAAAAGAATCTGCGGAGAGCATTGATAAAAATGAAGGAGCTCATAGAGTCTATGACCTCTATGTAGACGGCTCTCGTTGTCATGCAAGTAAATAGCACTGCCCATCTCTTACTATTTGCTTGCTGACCTCTTGTGTGTCGTGCAGTAACCTCTGTTGGACCGTGAATTTAAATTACCATTTTTAAACTATGTGTAGTCCAAGTTAATCAGTTTTATTACAGGTA